CTCTCAGGCCGTGCTCCCAGTTCCCCTGGCTCCAGGGATGGGACAATGGGGTTTATTTGGCACGGGATTCGTTTAATTTACACCGTGTTTAATTACACCGTGTTTAACGAGGGATTAATCGCAGCTCCTGCTCCTCTCAGACACCCACGGTCTCAGCGTGAAATTCGGGTTTATAGGGCCTCGAAAAGAGGGGCTGGGAGAGCAGCCTGGGCAGGGAAAGGTGGGAAGGAGCCGCTGCAAACGGATCCAGGGAAAAGTGAGCTGAGATCGGGATGGAGCAGGACCTATCCCAAAATCTCCCCCAGGGAAAAGTGAGCTGAGCTCGGGATGGAGCAGGACCTGATCCCAAAATCTCCCCCAGGGAAAAGTGAGCTGAGCTCGGGATGGAGCAGGACCTGATCCCAACATCTCCCTCAGGGAAAGGTGAGCTGAGATCAGATGGAGCAGGACCTGATCCCAACATCTCCTCCAGGGAAAGGTGAGCTGAGCTTGGTTTCCCAGATCACTGGGATGAAGCAGGACCCGATCCTAAAATCTCCTCCAGGGAAAGGTGAGGTGAGATCGGGATGGAGAAGGACCTATCCCAAAATGTCCCCCAGGGAAAGGTGAGGTGAGATCAGATGGAGCAGGACTCAATCCCGGCATGTCGTCCAGGGCAAGGTGAGCTGAGATTGGGGATGGAGCAGGACCTGATCCCAACATCTCCAGGGCAAGGTGAGCTGTGCTGGGCTCCCCGCAGGATGCCCCAGGCTGGAGCAGGACCCGCTCCCGGCTCTCCCCCTCCCGCAGCAGGGCAGGACCCGGCGCACACCTTGGAATTCCGGCTCCAAAGCATCTGGCTCCAAAGCATTCCGGCTCCAAAGCATCTGGCTCCAAAGCATTCCGGCTCCAAAGCATCTGGCTCCCTCTTGTGTCGCCGAGCTGGCAGGAACAGGAGGATGGGACAGGCTCCGGCTCCTGTCGCCGTGTCCAGCAGCAGCTGAGAGCCCAGAGTGACCCCAAAAGGAGCTCGGGGCTCGCAGGGAGCAGGCAGGGGGAACGGGGAATGGGGTGAGCAGCTCCAGCACACACAGCCCAGCCTGCTCCAGCAGGGTGAGCTGAGGAAATCCCAGCCTGGAGAAATCCCACCACCTCTCCTGCACCATCCCATCGGGATGCCATTTGTGCATCCCACCCCTGGCATTCTTTATCCACGGATTTCAGAAGGATGAAACTATTCCAGCTGTGCAAACACAACAGAACTTTGTTTTTCCAGTGTTTTATCCTATTTTTTTCCCCTTTTGGTATTGTGGATGGCAGGTGCTTGTTGGATTAAGCCTTTTTCTGACCCAGAGCTGGGGTAACTGAGAGGTGTTTTAAGAACTTCCATTCCATTTTCAGTCTCATGAGAAGGGTGAGACAGTACAGATGTTAGGATCCACACCAGCACAATCAGGAGCCAAATATTTATTAATTACAACACATTATAAGTGCTTCTTGGCCTGTCGGCTTTTGCCACACCGTAAGAGAATTCTCTACAAATTCATTTCCCCCAGGTGCTGATCCCCTGTGCTCCCATGACAAAGGACAGGGAAAATGCACCTGGAACCTGCTTTTAATGCAACACCCAGCACTGGTGCTGCTGCCTGCAGAGGTGTTTTTCCTTAACTGAGTTCCTTTCTGGAGATTTCTTCAAAGGTCATTAATGGGTGTCAGGAGACAAAGGAAAGCTGTGTTGGGGAAGCAGAAAAAGGGATTTGTTTTCCAGCAGATGTTCTACAACTCCTACAACTAAGGAAAAATTAAGTACAAGCAGACCAGGTGCTGTCAGCCCTGAATTGTGCAGTCTTACTCGATTTCTCTGGTTTGCTTTAAATCATAATTAAAATTAATGCTTATTTTTCATCCCCTTGGCCAGGGTGCCTGGTTATCTTCAGGCAGCTGCTGCAGAAACCAGGGAAGACTCCCATCCTCCCATTTAGGTGAAGGTGGTAAAGTACACCCATGGGGCTCCTCTAATTTAAAAGAGAGGGGTGGGAAAGGACTTTTCACTGCTGTCTGCAGCAAGTGAAGGGAATGAGCCCAAAGGAGTTATTTGGAATTAAACTGGATGCAAGCCATGGATCCCGGGACACCGACCACCCTGGATGTGAGGGAGAAGCCACCTCGGAAGGGTTGAGCAATCAGAAAGCTTTTCCAAGCTTTTCCCACTTTTTCCAAGCTTTTTCAAGCATTTCCCAGATTCTCCAAGCTTTTCCCAGGTTTTCCAAGCATTTTCAAGCATTTCCCAGATTCTCCAAGCTTTTCCCAGGTTTTCCAAGCTTTTCCCAGGTTTTCCAAGCATTTTCAAGCATTTCCCAGATTCTCCAAGCTTTTCCCAGGTTTTCCAAGCTTTCCCCAGGTTTTCCAAGCATTTTCAAGCATTTCCCAGATTCTCCAAGCTTTTCCCAGGTTTTCCAAGCTTTTCCCAGGTTTTCCAAGCATTTTCAAGCATTTCCCAGATTCTCCAAGCTTTTCCCAGGTTTTCCAAGCATTTCCCAGCATTTGCAGCCCCCCTGGGCAGGGTCCCAGCTGCTTTTCTCCCACACAAGATGTGCACCAGAGCAGGAACGAGGGTTTGTTCCTGGAGCCAAGGGAGATCCCTGCTGAATCCATCTCCTGTCCCCAGCTGGGATCCACCCCTGGATGGCTGCAGGGACTCTCCAGCCACCCTCAGCTGCTGAATATTCCCATTTTCATCCAGGCTGGATGCTTCCCAGTCTCCAGCGTGGCCTGAGGAAGGTGTGGGTGTGAAAGTTGCCTCAGATAATGAGATAATTGTTATTAATTCTGTTTATTTTTCTTCCACAGGATTCTGGGGGTTATTTTTAAACAAAACACACGGTTCTCAAAAGCAGGATATTCCTATTCAGAATATTCCTCTGGGATTGCAATTTTTCAGGAGATGTGACAGATCTTTTGCAAACCCACAAAGTTTGAGTGCAGCTCAGAGGTGGCAGGGGCACCTTTGGGGACAAGAAACCTGCAGGAAGGGCTTTTGTCTCCTGATGGAAACCCCTCCTTCCCGCAGGAATGGCTCCATCCTTCCTGCATAATGAGAGGCACAGGTGCCATGGGAATAGGGGAGGCTTTGTCCTCCCTCCCTGCAGGAGCAGCCCTTTGTGTCAGGGATGCTGAAGGATTCCAGTCAATCATTCCTGCTGCATCACCTCCCCCAGCCCCTCAGCACAGCCAGGAGATCGCTTTGGCCTCCACATTGGCCAAGATTTTCCTGCTGAGGGATGCCCCTCAAATCCTTGTGGTTTTAATGCGTTTTAAACTGGTTTTAGGGTGTTTTTAAGGTGTTTTTTCCCACTGACTGTAACCAGGTGCTGCCAGGAACTGAGCTCACATTCTGCTGCTCTTAAAGTAATTTTTAAATTTATTTTCCAGTGGGAGTTGTGCCTCAAATCAAAATTAGGCTTTGTATTTTTACAACTCTCATTTCTCCCCTTCTGGCGAAGGGCAGCGAGGGAGGGCACAAATATTTTCTTAAGGTCTCCTGAGCGAGTTTTTTATTCAAATTAATGTGCAAACCTGAGAGCCCTGAGTCAACCAATAGCTCCAGGAATAACAGCTGTTTCCCAGGATATTATCCAACACACACAAATATTTTTCAAGTGGAATTTCACAGAGACAGCAGAGCCTCGCTTGCCATAAAAATAACTGTGAGAAAGAGAGCTGGCAAATCCCTGAGCAGGCCTAACACGGGTTTGTTTGGTTGGATTTGCTGGAATATTCATGGCAGTGACCAAATTGGAGGGGTTTTGGCTGAATATCCATTGTTTCCTGTGGAATGGTGAGGGAAGGGATGCGTGTTTCACTGGTGATGCTGTTCTGGCCGTGTTTCAGAAAGCAGCAGCCCTGGATCCATCCCAGGGCCATAGGTGGGGCATTCCCAGCCCAATCCAAGCTGGAAAATCAGCCCTGGAGCACAGCAACAGCTCCCCTGCTCCTCTCTCCCCAGATGCCTCCCTCCAAAGCACTCCACAAACAAAACAGCCGAGGCAAAAAAGCCCTTTTTGTCTCCAGAAGCACATCCTGGGAAGGAGAGCAGCAGATGGAGAGCCCTGGGAACAATGGGATAATGCTGAAGGGGTGCCAAGGACGTGGGGGCAAAGGGAATGGGAAGAGGAGCTGCTCCAGCTGAGGCAGGACTCAAAAGGAACCTTTTATTCAGCTGTGATTTCAAGGTTCTGGGGTGCTGACTGCAGGTCCTTGGGTAAGGGGGAGCTGTTTGGCAGGAGAGCAGAGCTGAAGGACACCTGGAGTGCTGCTGGCAGCTGGGCAGGTGCCAGCAGTGACCCAAAACCACCCTCAGCCAGCAGCAACCAGCCAGGGCTCACACACACACACCAGAGGCACCGGTTGGAGCAAAAAAATAGGAAATACCAGAGCTCTGAATCGGGGGAAAAAAAAAATTTAAAAAAAAAAATGAGGCTGTTCAGAAAAAGAGATGAGAAGCTCAATGTGGACACTGGAAAACAGCACTAATTTCATTAAAGGATTATCCTTCAGAGAGGGTTTTCTCTTTGACAAGGTCGAAAAACTTTGAAAAACTTCCCATCTCTGCTTGAGCTCTGTGGGGATGAACCCAAACAGCTCCAGGGGGAGTTTTCCAGAATTCCCCATCCCTGAGCCCCCTGGAGAACCTGCAGAGCACGGGGGAAAGGATGAAATTAAATTATTATTATTATTATTATTATTATTATTATTATTATTATTATTATCAATCTTTAAATTTTGGTCCCCTCTCCCAATTCAGCAAAGCACTTAAGCTCATCAGCTTGCTGCTTTGACACTCATTTTTAATACAATTTTAATGCATTTTTAATACACAAAGGTGCTTTAACACCTCTCACTGGCTCCACTGCACTGGAGAATCAGCCATGACAAGAAAATGCCTCGAGCATTTCTTGGGCTTCAGGTTTGGGCTTCCAACCAAAAATCTGGGATTTGGTTAAAATAACACAGACACAACGTTTTGGATAACACTTTTCTTTAATGGCATAAACCCCTATAACTTTCCCTGCACATCAGACAGAAAAGCTGCTCTGGATGTTTTGAGAAATGATTCTAAACACACAGATATCACAAAATAAAAGCTATTTTCTAAATTGGTTAAAAAAACCCCCATTTGTGCCCTTGTAATGGATACAGAAACAGATCTGCATAAACAGAATCTGGTTCCAAAGTCTGAATGCCCCCAGATTTTCCCATCAAATCTCTGGACACACTTTCATGTCTAAATAACGAGCTGTCAGAAGATGCTGCAGAAGCCTTTACAGCTGGAAAAAAACCCATTATTGCTCCTATGAAAACAAACGTGCCTGTTTCCTGCAGGGAAGAATTATCCAGGCTTTCTCAAGCCTGTCCATTCCATGTGCATTTTGCTCTGCCAGGTGTCCCAGCTCTCTTCTAAAGGGTCCCTCTGCAGCTAAAGGCCCAGAAAAGGTCCCCATTCCTGGCTGCTGTGGTCCCCTCCTCACAGAACCTCACACACAACTTCCCTGCAGTGTTTCCTACATGGCTGGCACACTCAGTTTAAAAAAAAAATAAATCTCTTTTTTCACTATGTACTCCTTGACATCAAGCTGGGGTGAGAATGCTCTGAGGTACCAAAAGGAAACGTGGCTGCTTCTGGGCAGAAAAGGTCCCCAAGTGTGGGATCTCAGCACATCGTTCCCAATGTCCAGAGATGCCAGGAGAACCCTTGGGGGTCTCGAAAATCCTGGAATGTTGCCAAGAGTGCTTGGTGGCTTGATTTTGATCCATCCACAGAAGTAGCAAGAGTTTGAGGACAAGAGAATCACTTTAGAGTAAAAGGTGTAAAACAGACACATTTAGAGGGTGAAATATAGACTTTAAGGTTTTTGGTACAGGGGGGTTATGGAGACAAGATGGAGGGATCAGGGTGTGTCTCGTCCTTCTTCTTTCTTCTTCTTGTCCTCCATCTCCTGTGATGATGTTGGCACTTGGGGATTGGTTTATGGTGAAGGTGCACTTGCCAACATGGGTGAAAAGCATTGGGAAATAAAGGTAAATATCGTGTACATAGATTTTAGTATAAAAAGACATGACTGCCTCGTGGGTGGTCAGAGTGCCTGTGACTGCTTGCAGATCAGACCTCTGTTGGGCAGACAGAAAATTTTGTAGATAAGAAATAATAAACAACCTGAAGATCGAAAAGCTGAAGAGTCCAGACTCGTCCTTTGCATCGCGTGCCACCCAAGAACCACCCTGCCCGTGTCGGGGCAGAGACAGACAGCCGGACCCGACACCCAAGTTTATGAAAGATGCAAAAATCACTGATTTTTTGTTCTGACCTTAATTTGGTTGTTTGGGGGGGGCCAGGCTTGGTCACCCTCCTGTGCAGAGTTGCCAGCCTGTGAGTGGGACCAAGTGACATCCCAGTGCCACAGAGGGAGAGCTGCAGGGCCACAGGGCCACAGGCAGAGCCTGGGTGAGAAACCCAAACCCCAGGAGCCCTCACTCCTACCTGGAGTGCCCCCTCACCTCCTCTGTGAACCCAAAAACGTCTGCAGAGGTGCCCACAATGTCCAGGTGGGTGTCATAAGGGATGATGAGCACTCTGGGGTAGCGTGCTCTCAGCCTTGCACAGAACTGTCTGAGTCTCTGCTTCCCAGCTCTGCTGGGCTCCTTGAAGCAGATCCTTTCCTTCCGTAAAATCTTCTGCAGCTCCACCGAGTATTTTTCTATCATTTTCTTGGCCTTTAATCCCTGTATGGTACCAGCCTTGCTGCCAGCACTCTCAATGCACACCGTGGTGATGTCACCATCAGTGACACCAGAAATGACCACATCATTTCCCTGCAAAGCCTTGGGATAGAAGTGCTTCATGTAGTGATAGATATCCGTGTCCAGAACCAGCACTCGTTTTTCCCTCTGCGCATCCCGGCTGGAACTCCTGGTCTCTGCAGTACCTCTGTGCTCCTGCAGCTTCCTCCTCGGCCTCTGGTGGGATTTTCCCTCTCTTTTGTCCTCCTCTGGGAGGGATTTTGCCTTCAGCAGGAGGAAATCTCTCAACGCTTGGAGTGCTGGGAAGGACCCTTGCACAGCAATTTGCCCGTCACTCTGCAAAGGCCCAAAACTCAAAGCCGGGCTCTGCTGCTTCATCTCTTCCACCAAATCTTCTAAAACCAAGTGATCTCTGAAAACAGCCATGCTGAGGGTGGAGGTGACGCAGAGGAAGGCCTGGAATTGTCAATGGGAGAAGTTAAGGAGGGGCTAATGAGGCATGAGGCATAATTAGATGAATTAGGTGTGGGAAATGGAAAGACAGAAACTTCCTTGGACACAGGAGGGTTTGATCTGCAGAAGCTTGGGAGAAGCTCGGATGGATGTAAAAATAAAGCACACAGACATTAAGCAGAAACATAACAAACTTTTGTTTCTATCCTTGTAAGTAAGAAGTAAGAAACATCTCAAATAACTTAGGTAAGTAAGGAACTATTGATAAGATGGTGAACAGTTTATAGTGTAGGGGAGTAATTGTATAGAGTGGGCTAAGAGTTGAGAAGTTACAATAGAAGCATCTGCACATGTAATAGTAACCCACTGGATAAAAGTATATTCACTGCAGCAGAAGTAAGTAAAGGTGAGAGGTTAGAAAAGCAAAATAACTTTGTGGCACCATTCCATTGGGTTATAAAGTTATATATTGCCTTGTAACAAAGAACTTGTGACCATTTTTTATGGCCGACTGCATGGCCATAAATCTCACAGCCTCTGAGACTGATGTTTGTCTGAGCCATAAATTGTTTTTAGCCCGACTGGGGTCCCATCCCTGCGATGAAAGCAGTGATAATGACACCAGGGAGGAGCTCACGTTGTGGCAGTAGCGGGTCACTGTCAGGGGGAAGGGCCTGGGCAGCCTCTTGTCCTGCAGGAGATGCTGATCCTTCTTCAGAACACGCTGCACGACTGAAAACAAACCCAGATTAAAGCTCCAAGACGTTTCAAACTCTAACAGCCCCCCCTGTTTCTATAAAACCCCAATTTCAAACCAATCTCAGGCCAATTCCCTGGGGCACACCTGTACTTTATATACACCCCTTTAAATACCTTCTGCATCCTCGAAGGTCACGTAGGCAACTCCTGCTTCCCGTGTGGGATACGTGACCTGCTCCACGTCCCCACCGTTGTTCCTGGACTTTTGGAAGTGGATGGTGAGGAGGTCAGCCAGGAGGTCATCCTGCAGGGCTCCAGCGGGGACACCAGCGACGACAACTGTCCTCATGCCTCTGCCAGCCTGGGCACACATGGCAAAGTCAGGAGGGACCCCCAGATTCCCACCCCTGCAGAGGATCCCACTCCCTCTGCAATTTTTTCCTTTTTTTTTCCCTTTTATTTTGAATTGGTACACACTGTTCACGCCCATATTTCAAGTGTGGAAACATGTATTTTCAAGCAGCAGTACATGAAAGTATCCATTAAGAATGCATAAAGTCTGAAAAAATAATATATATTATATACAATAATATGTATTAATAATATGTCATATATCATGTATCATAGATCATATAATATATATTTTATATATTATAATATACATTATGTATTATATATAAAATAATATGTATAATATATAATTTTATATATATAATTTCTTGCTTTATATATAATATATAGAAGATATAATAGATATATAATTAATATATATGATATGTATCATTATCATTAACATATATCATTATATAATAATATCATTAAGATATATATAATATATAATAACATATATATATATATATATATATATATATATATATATTGTTGCTTCCATGTAGCAAGAGAAGTTCATTTTCAAATCAGATAAAATTCAGGATTTAGGTGTGAATGGTATGAATGGCGGTCTCCTTTTTTTTGTTTGTTTGTTTTGGGTTTTTTTCAGTTTCTTAGTTGTTTTAGGAGCCTTTGCAATGTGCATTTAGGGGTTAATTAATCCTGCCCAATCAGATCTCAGTGCCTGCCAGGCTGCCTCAGGCACCTGCATTAAAAAATGGTTTCAAATGTCATTTAAACCCTCTCAGTATCTTCTCAAAAGCAGGAAAAATGAGCATTAAATTTAAGTTTCTCAGCTGGAAGGTCCCACTGGTAACATGGTTTCCTCTGATTCTAATATTTAACATCAGAATAAAAAATTGTAACTGCATGTGATGCTCAGCAGGGATTCCCAGCAGAGTGGAAGGGGCAGATTCCCTGTTAAATTTGGGATCTCAGCCATTTAAACCCTCTCAGCATCTTCTCAAAGCAGGAAAAATGAGCCCTGAATTTCAGTTTCTCACCTGGAAGATCCCACTGGTAACACGGTTTCCTCTGATTCTGATATTTAACATCAGAATAAAAAATTGTAACAGCATGTGATGCTCAGCAGGGATTGATTCCCAGCAGAGCGGAAGGAGCAGATTCCTTGTTAAATTTGGTAGAGATGGGATCTCAGTCATTTAAACCCTCTCAGCATCTTCTCAAAGCAGGAAAAATGAGCCCTGAATCTCGGCTTCTTACCTGGAAGGTCCCACTGGTAACGTGGTTTCCTCTGATTCTGATATTTGATATCACTGCACATACATTGTGGAGCACTGACTACATTTAACACTTCACTGACTTTCCGGAAGAAAGGAGATAAATTTGGTTTGTGGGAACGAGCTGTCAATAACTGCACTTGAGGTCAGTCACTCCCATCTGAATTCCTTAAACTTCTCTTAAGATTTAAACTTCTCTTTAGCTTTAAACTTCTCTTTAGCTTTAAACTTCTCTTAAGGTTTTTTCCTGGGCCTGGGCTGCCTAAAACACGATCCCAGCTCCAGCAGGTGCTGCTGAGGGAGCGATGCCTGCTCACGATCCTGGGGCTCTGGAGACAAACGCAGCGAGAGGCTCCATCAAATTCCGACAGCCAGGAGCTTTTAATTAATGACAGCAGCCAATTAAGCAGGCGGTGAGGCCCGTGCGAGAGGCTGCACGGCGGGAATGCAAACGGGGATTTTCTCACGCCTGGCACAGCCGGAGCTCGGCTCGGCTGCCAGACAGCCCTCACACCTTCCCAGCTGGTGTTTGGGAGCAACACTCGGGCCTGCTAGTGGGGTTAGGGGAAAAAAAACCAACCCAAGAACACACGGTTTGTGCTGAATCACTCCCCAGACGCGTCTGTGCCGAGCAGCTGCTCCCAGGCACGGATGGGCGCTGCGGGAGGGGCCGGCAATGGGCCGGGAACGGGCCGGGAATGGGCCGGGAACGGGGAGGGAGGGATGGGGCAGCAGCTCTGCTGACAACGGGTCCTGATGGGACTTCCTGGCAAATCCCAGACTGGTTTGGGTTGGGAAGGACCTTAAAGCTCATCCCAATCCAGCCCTGCCATGGGCAAAGACACCTTCCGTTGTCCCAGGCTGCTCCAAGCCCCCATGTCCAGCCTGGCCCGGGGCACTGCCAGGGATCCAGGGCAGCCCCAGCTGCTCTGGCAATCCCAGCCCAGCCAGGAATTCCCAATTCCCAATGTCCCATCCATCCCTGCCCTCTGGCACTGGGAGCCATTCCCTGGCTCCTGTCCCTCCATCCCTTGTCCCCAGTCTGTCCCCAACTCCTTTTCCAGCGCTTTCCCCTCAGCTCCTCCCGGCCCTGCCCCTCGCGGTGCGCGGCCCCTGCTCCCCCCGGCCCCCGCACTTGCCATGGCCGCTCCAACGGGACGGGATCTCACCGGGACGGGATCACATCGGGACGAGGATCCCACCGGGACGAGGATCTCACCGGGAAGGGCCTCGGAACGAGCGGGCCCGGCGGGGAAACGAAAGCGAAAGCGGCGGGGAAGCGGCGGCGCCGCCCCTGGGGCCGCTCCCAGCCCGGCGGGGACAGCGCGGCCCGGCCCGCCCTGCCCGGCTGAACTGCGGGGCGGAACGGGAACCGCGATGTGCAGGGACACACAGGGACAGGGACATTTACAGGGACATTTACAGGGACACACAGGGATAGGCAGGGGCAGGGACATGCGGAGACTTGAACATATACATGGACAAGAACACGTGAAAAGAAACAAGGGAGAAGGGCGTGCATGGAGAGGGACAGGGACACGTGTAGAGAAACACACCTGGAGAAGGACAGGTATGGAGAGGGACAGACATGGACAGGGACACGCATAGACTGGGACATGTGTGAACTGGGACATGCATGGAGAGAGATACACACGGAGAGGGACATGGAGGGACAAAATACAGGGACACAGGGAGAAGGGCATGCATGAAGAGGGACAGGGACACACGTGGAGAAGGACAGGTATGGAGAGGGATATGCATGGAGAGGGACAGACATGGACTGGGACATGCATGGAGAGAGATACACATGGAGAGGGACACACAGGGACAAATACGTGGACAGGGACACGAGGGAGAAGGACAGGTGTGGAGAGGGACAGGGACACACAGGGACACACGTGGAGAAGGACAGGAATGGAGAGGGACATGAAAAGAATGGAGAGGGACATGTGTGGACTGGGACACGCATGGACTGGGACATGCATGGACAGGGACATGCAGGGACAGCAAACACTCCAGGGATGCAGGGCAGCCCCAGCTGCTCTGGGCACCCCGTGCCAGGGCCTGCCCACCCTCCCAGGCAGGAATTCCTTCCCCCTGTCCCCTGTGGCCAGGGAATCCCCCCTGGAACCCCAAAGGCTGCGCTTGTCCAGCTCCTGTGGCCCCAAACAGCCCCGGGTTTGGCTGGACACTGATGTTGGGGTGAACACTGCAGCTGGGAAATGTCCCTGTGTGTAATTTGGGAATAAAAACCTCCCAGCCCGATGAAAAGTCACGCCAGAGGGGAGGAAAAAAGGATACTGACATTTATAGACGCATCACTGACACTTTATTGTTATTTTTCATCATTAAAACCAGTCTCCAGCCTTTAAAGCACCATTGCTGCTTTAAAATTTAACAGGGTAATCATCACAAGCCATAATTCATCAGGGACAAAGGCAAGACATTTACAGACATTGTCTTTAAAGTGTAAAAATCTGATTTGTTTTCTGGGCTTTAAAATCTGCAGCTTCTCACAACTCCTCATGAGTCACACCTTATGAGAACTTTAAGCTTTTTCCTTTTTAATGATTTACTTGTCAATATTTATCAGTGAGAAAGGTAAAAAATGTCATGGATTTCAACTGTTTCTCAGGTTTTCCCCCCTCTCTTTTTAAGGTGTCTGGTTTTACCACGTTTTTGAGAGTGCAAAAGTGCACAATTTCTGGAAATTCTTCAGCACTACTTTGTTTGGAGTGATTATTATTCTTTTACAATGGTCAGGTAATCAATCCCTGCCTTTACATGCCCTAAACAGTGAGAGGTGCTACAGTCACATGTATCTCACTCAACAGCAAATTCAAAATAAACTCTGGTGTTTGCAGCCTTTTAACTTTCCATATTCAACTTTTATCCGTTGCCAATTAAGTTTGTCTGGAATAATAATCCCCGAGGTATTCCCTCTCCTTTCCCTGCACATCAAGATGTCAAATACCCCAAAAAGAAATTATTTAAAATGTCAGGCTCATGTTAGTTTGGAGACAAGACTATTGGGGCCAAACCATTTCAGCCCCCAAGGATGGCAAAAGTGCAAAGTCAGAGGAGGATTTGTTTTCCAAGGATGGCAGCAGAAAAGGAGAAACATTCCTCCTTGGAAAAATCACTCTCTCCATGCCCTCCCAGCCCCAGCCTGGGATCACCAGATCCCTCAGGACTGTTCAGCAGCACTGTTACAAAACCAGGTACAGCATCAGCTCAATCCTTGGCTGAAATAGTTTAAAATTACCAAAATCATGAACAAAAATTAGGAAAATTTAATTGCAGAAACAAGTATTAAAATCAAACAGTAAACCAGGCTATGAACAGCTAAAGGCAGCAAATGCCAGGGCATTTCTTAAGTGCAATTTCTTGGTTTTTTTCTATTTTAATTTCTATTTTAATTCTATTCTGTTCTTCCCATTTTCTATTTTAATTCTATCACTGATTTGATAAGGTGGCTTTTATGAAATTACAGGATGTTTTCAGGTGTTTTGAGTTCTGGTGGCACTCAGAGCCACCTTCTGAAACTCTGGCACTTAACAAAGCAGGACTGGGAGGAGGCTTGGATTGGGATAAAATATGGCTTTTGTATCCAGAATGTAATTAATAATCCACTCATCCCACTCTGGAGTATTTTAAAATCTGCCAGGTATAAAATATGCAAAGTTGCAGAAAATGTGAGCTATTTCAGGGGCTGCTGAAGGCTTGGTCTGTGCCTTTAATGTGTAACACAGGCAGGGAGTTTTGCTGACTGCCTGTGCAAAGCCAGTGCCATGAGACAAAGCAGGAAGGCAGGATTCCTTTGCTACAGCATCAATTTCAGAGCATTAAAGCACAATACCTACAGAAATCCCTGAGGAACAAAACCTCATGAGTCCCCTGTGATTTCTGAGCTGGCATTCCCAGTATCCTCCTCAAAGCAAACATAGGCTGCTCCTCTGGAGATGTATTTGATTTTCTCTATCTCCCCCCCACCATTGCTTGGCTTTTGGAAGTGAATTTCAATCATGTCCTGCACACTTTCTTCATCCTCTTCCACCTCTGGGACTCCTTTCAGCAGAATGGTTTTCTTGGAAACCCTGCAGTGTGGCTGGGGAGGAAAAACAAACCTGGATTATACAGCAGCTGGGCACTCAAGGGAACTGGGAGAGATGGGAATTGAATTCCTTGCTCAGGTGTAGCTGGGATCTCTGATGAGGTGAAAACTTTAGATAGTGGAAATTTCTCTGGAAAGAGCAGAACTCTGGATTCACACTGCCATGAATGCTCTGGATTCACACTGCCATGGAGGGGCTGGATTCACACTGCCATGAAGGGGCTGGGACTCTGGATTCACACTGCCATGAAGGCTCTGGATTCACACTGCCATGAAGGCTCTGGGACTCTGGATTCACACTGCCATGAAGGCTCTGGATTCACACTGCCATGAAGGGGCTGGGACTCTGGATTCACACTGCCATGAAGGGGCTGGGACTCTGGATTCACACTGCCATGAAGGGGCTGGATTCACACTGCCATGAAGGCTCTGGATTCACACTGCCATGAAGGCTCTGGGACTCTGGATTCACACTGCCATGAAGGCTCTGGATTCACACTGCCATGAAGGGGCTGGAACTCTGGATTCACACTGCCATGCAGGGTCTTGGAGAGGCAGTTGAGGGCACTTGGTTTGTTGGAGGAGACTCATCCCAGTCTGGAGCTTCCTCCTGAGGGACAGCTCCCATCTCTGCCCTCTGGGAACAGAGGAACAAGAGCTGGAGCTGGGCCAGGGCAGATTTAGGATGGATTTCAGGAAAGGTTCTTCCCCCAGAGGGTGCTGGCACTGCCCAGACTCCCCAGGGAATGGGCACATTGCCAAGGCTGCCAGGGCTCCAGGAGTGCTGGACAGGGATGTCCAGGGTGGGATTTTGGGGTGTCTGTGCATGGATCCATGATCCTGTGGGTCCCTTCCAGCTCAGGAGATTCTGTGGTTCCATGATTCCAAGCCCACACCTTAACTGGTGTATCCTGCACTCCTTACTGCAGCCACACTCTGGATTTGGGGATCTCTGATGGCTCCTGACAGCACCACCCCACACAATCCCTGCCAGGACATGCCCCAATACCAGCTGTGTGTCCTGCACACTGCAGCCCATGCCTTAATTACAAAGGCCTAATTACAGACACAATTCTGACCTGATCACCATCTCCTCCTGAAGCAGAGTGTGATGAGGCAGCTCTCACAATTTGGGCTGAATGGAAGAGTGAAATCAAGGAATGGATGAGCAAATGTTGCATTTGCTGGGACTCTGGGATCCTGGCAGAGCTTTGTGCTTAACCTCCTTCCCAAACAGCCCAGCACAGCCATGTGGGGAGTGCTGAGATAATTCCATCAAGGAAAGACAAGCACACCCTTTAAAGATAAATTGCAGCTTCACATGAACTCAGCAGCCTATTTCACAGCCACACTGGCTGGGACCTTCACACAAAAGGAGGGAAAATTCTGCCCATCCTCCTATTTCCCACTTATCTGTTCTATCAGCCTGGAGCAGATTCTTTTACCTGAAAATTCCTCAAGTGGAAATCAAAGTGTGGAGAGACAGAAATGATGGACCACTTTTCCTCTGCACAGAAAGGGTATTTAGTACATCGCACAAAGTTGTAGCTTGCTGTAAGAGAATAATAATAATAATAAAAAAAAACCCAGTTAATTATTTAATATAATTGAACCACTATTTTATAAACATTTCAATGACCAGGCTCATCCAGCTAATGTAGGATGGCACACCTGTAGATTTTTCATGTGCATTCTGCAAAAAGTTTATTTGGCACTTCCAAAACAAAAAGCAAAATCATGGAATGCCCACAAAGCTAAAAATAAATAAATCTAAAGCAGCTGCTCCAAGTGGATGTGGAATTGATCATGGAATTCCATCCAGCTGGGCAACAGAAATGCCTGTCCAACTGCACTGTCCTGCAACAGGAGCTAAAATCAGACTCATCTTTCTGATTTGCTGTTTGCAGAATGAGTGTCTGGCAATGCAGAGGGGAAAAAAAACAAACAGGTTTTTTGGGAAAAGTTCTGAAAGAAAGCTCATGAACTGTGAGCAGGTTGTGTTTGCTCCAAAAGGATGTGATGAAAAACTGCTTTATTTCCCCACATCTCTGGGGGATCCATGAGCTCCCTGTGGGAGGAGTTTGCAACACTCAGTAGTGACCCCAGAATGGAACCAGGATGGACAACTGGGCCTGAATTTGGATAAGAAAATATTCCAGACTCTACCTCCAGGTTTGAGGAATGTGATGACACCTGTCCCAGACCCCTTGTTGTAGGTCACTTTTTCTATTTCTCCTCCTCCTCCTGCCTGCTCAGTTTTGTAGAAATACAGCTCAAGTTTGTCTCTCATCCATTCTTCAGGAATAGGAAGCTCAGGTATGTCTGAAACGTTGATCTTCTTTCCAGAGACAGTGATATGGAGCTAAAAATATCAAAGTTTTTGCACTTTGTGACTGAAAACACTGAAAAAAAAAGAACCTAAAGCTTTGAAAAAGCTCAGATTTTGAGAGTTGCATATTTCAGCTGTTTACCTCAAACTGGAATCCCATGTCGAGTTCAAAAGGCTTCACTGTCACATTTGCTGTTCTGTTGTCCAGGTTCACATAGTGCTTGCTCATCTTTGTCAGCTTCTGGGCAACTAAGGGAAATCAGATATGGAAAGCTTTGTTTAATCATTATAAATCCCAAATTATTCCCCAGTCTCTTAAAAAAAATCTCCCTTTGCATCAGCAAAGGAGAAATTAATAATAACTAGGCAACCAGATCCCAAGCATCCATGTCTACTTCCATAAAATCTCTGTGGTTTTATGTAGGCCAAATAATATAATAACAAAATATTATATCAATAATTTTAATAATAAATAATAAATAAGTTTAATAATAACAATTAACAATAAACAATGTTATTAAATAATATACAATAAATATAGCAAATATATTAATTAATTATATATATAAAAATAGATTTTGAGTGGGACTAGTAGAACTTTTAAGCTGATGAAAGATGCTCTTATTGTATAAAATATGATAAGATTTTTTTCCTGTCCCATTCAAAACACCCTTGGGGGAAAACCACACCACCACCAGGTGAAATACATCAGAGACATTAATTTTATAATTAAAATACACATCCTACCTTCTTCATCTTCAAAAGTCAGCAGTGCCTGGCTCTGGTTGAGTCTGAAGGGGGTTTTTGTGGCCACCCCAAAGACACAGTGGGTGTCCATATCCACATCTGCCCCATCATCCTTCATCTCTTTCAGGTGAGTGAACTTCAATTGCATTTCTGCCACCTTCTTTTTAATCTCCAACTTTAGAATTGACACAAGAGAAAGAAAACTTGTGAATTACCAATGTTATGAATATCTTTGATTCCACTGCCTTCCATTTCATCAATGTTTGCTTGTTTTCATTCCTCTCCCACTTCCAGTACCTCTTGGATTTATTTCCATATCCTCTCCCTGCTTCAAACTGGCTTGCCAGGAAAAGTAAGAAACTTTCAGGTTTATTTCATATTGAAATTATAGAGGTTCAAATGCTGGACAAGTGGCCCCAGCAGCCTTTAAGAGGGACAGATTCAGTGGGGAGGCTCAATCTCCCAGAGCAGCTGGGGCTGCCCCTGGATCCCTGGAAGTGTCCAAGGCCAGGCTGGATGGGGCTTGGGGATAGGGGAAGGTATCCCTGGGGTTGGAATGAGATGGGATTTAAGGGCACTTCCAACCCAAACCATTCTCTGAAAATAAAAATCTGCCCTCCTAAAAGACCAATTTCCAAATATTCCACCTCCTTTACCGGATTATCCTGGGAACTGTGTTCTTTCAGGTCTTCTTTGAGCTTTTCAATCTCCTTTTTCAGCTCAGTGTTTTCTTGCTTTAGCAGCAAGAGTTCCTGCCACAGGCCAAAAAGATGAAATGCAAAATTAAACACTTAAATAAAGACAGAAATATATTTCAGCAACATCTGGGCAGTTTCTGCCATGCTGCTACTCTTCCCTCTTCATGTCCTTCTCCTTCCTCCTGTCTGCTCCATAATTCCTCCAGAACAAGGAATCCTGCTTGGACACAAGGCTCTGTGAGCAAATCCAGGATTTCCTGGACAGGGAATGTGAGAGGATGAGAAGGAAGCAGAGCAGATACTGTCAGCTCCAGCCAGCCACCATCACAGGGTGGCTCCTGGGAAGTCAGCAACCACTGCAGACACTTGGAGCACTTCCCATCAGCTGGAGGCCAAAGCCAGATGGTGACCATGACCTCTCCTGCTACAAACTCAAACTTTTGTGATTACAGAACCAAAATCAGCTTCCACAAAATCTCCCCCCGACCTGAGTGTGTTTAAGCTATTAATTAGAGTGTAATGGCTTGAAGCTGTAATTTCTCATCAGTGATCCACCAAAGCTCACTGGAAGCACCTCCCTGGCAGCCTGTGGAACATTCTGCTGTTCCTGCACATGGAACATTGAGGGAATGAACCAAGGGATGCAGGAGCCAAGCAGTTCTAGAAGGAAAAACCCTCTTCAGACAGGCCCTGGCTCTTGCCCAGCTCACTGGCACTTAAGAAATGCTGATCCTTTGGGTACTGTGACCTCTCACAGCTGGCAAAGCAGTGGAATCACCCCACTGGGCTTCATCCCCTTCACCCAGACCTGAAACTCATCCGTAGGGGAGAACCTTGCAAGAGGAAGGTTGGTTTTGGCAGGTTTGTGGGGTTTTTTTTGTCATCCCAAAACAGATTCAGTTTCTTGCACTCTTTGCCTGCCAGTGAAAAACTGAAGTGCAGCAAGAAACACGTGGAACATTTGACCAGTACAGCTGCACACTGGTAAAGCCAGGGAAACTGGGAATGTTGCTCCCATTTTCCCAGCCCCCAGCTCCCTCCCAGCCCTGCAAACAGCAGCAGCCCCCTCCACACCTCACAGCTGGTGATTCTCCCCTTCCTCTGCTTCTCCTGCTCCTTCAGCTCTGTCAGCTGCTTCTCTGCTCTGTCACACTCGGCCTCTGCTCTTGATTTGGAGGAAATGAGGTCAGCTTTTACCTTTTGAGCGTCTTCAACTTTTATCTGCCGAGCAAAAAGAAGATTTTCAATGTTTTAAAGGGTTATTTCTAGAGGAACAAACAAAACCTCGAGTAAGCCCTTTGTACTAAGTAATTTTTAACACTTTGGGTAAATATTCAACTTACAAGAGTGCCATCAACACAAGCACAAAGCTTGGAAGAACAGAACAAATTCAAGGTGTTATAAATGTGGGGGATTTGATCTGGTTTTAGAAGGATGCACCAGTCTTTGTATTTTAGCAAATTTCCACGATTCCATGTGCTTTACAGAACTTGCCTTCCATATCCTCAGCTCTTCCTTGAGGTTATCAATTTCTTCCAGGGATGCCCCAGGTGGAACAATGGGTACCATACTCTGCAGAGGGAAGAGGAACACATTGGTTTTCTCCTCCATTGGCCAACAACTGAGACACCCCAAACAATTCTAAAACAATCTTTAAAAAATTAAAAAGTTTAACCAAAAAAATTTTAAAACATCATCATTCACTTAGGTCAAATTGTTGAATTATTTTAATGGCTGGACAGGACAAAAATCAATGAAATTGCAAATTACTGGCCAGCCATTATTATTTGCTAATTATCTAACTGCTAAAATGCACAGGTGAATATTCAGCTAAATAATGAATCAAGTTGTCTCCATGTTCTTCCACACAGAATGAAGCCCCTCAAACCCACAAATGTTTAGCTCTGTGCTTTCTCAGCAGTTCCTCCAGGAGGAGGTGTCAATAAAAAAAAAAAAATAAAAGTGAAAATGGGATTTTAATCTTCCAAGCTCGGGGAGATTGGATAATAAAAGGTAGTATCAAGGAAGGTGATAAAAGAACCCTTTCAGAATTGAAATTCAGGGCACAAGTTCACAGGGGCAGGGAAACTACAAAGCCCAAAGAGAGGGAAAAATCTCTGTTCTGTTTTGTTTCTATGGCTGCAAAGTTCTGCAGGAAAAAAAAAAATCAAAAAAGATCTGCTGAAATATTTTCTCCCTTTTTACTCAAGATTACAGAAAGCTTGAATGGGAACCATGAAATTTAGGCATAGCAAAAGATCTAAATTAGATAATCCATGGAAAAAAATCTGAATTAGATGATCTTGCCAGTTCTCTTGATAATGCTGGGTATTTTCTAAAAATGACAAAATAGAAAGTATTTCTTCCAGTTTCAAATTAAGCAAGAGGGAAATACCCATCTGTGTCTTAGTTACAATGGGAAAAATACTCCTTTACTCCAGGGACTGAGTGCAGGAAATAAAAAGGATGCACGTGCCAACAGCTGGAAGATAATAACAAAAAGGATTTTTTACTAAAAGAATGGTTTCACACAGCAGTTTCCATCCTGAAAGAAGGAAAAAAATAACCAAGAAAACACAAGAAAGGCCAGGGAAAGTCCCATCCAAACCACTTGTGCACTGCTGGAGCTGAATCCCAGGAAAAGGGAAATTCCCCTAAAATCCTCCACAAAGACAGAGGAGCAAGAGAGGCAGGACAGAAAGTTCTGGGAGGATCTGTGATGCAGAACCCTGGGAATGGGATTCTCCCCATGGAAACAGGAGGTGGAAATGGGGAATGCCCCAAGTATTAAAGGGTGGAAGAAGATGAGACAAGCAGGAGCAGAAGGGAGCACAAACCTTCAGTCAGAGATACAAAAGTCAAATACAGATTTCACTCCCAGGCAGCACATCAGGAAATACTTACAAAACCATTGTCTTGTAGAGGTAATGGAGGGCTGGTAAAATCCATGGAAACCTGAGGGACCAGGAAAAAAATGACAACATTGTGTGTATCGTTTGGGGAGTTTTTATGCAACAGAGTATCAGGAATACCAGAAGCTGTGCTAAGCTGGAAGAGTTTTTAAACACAAATGTGTAATTCCACAAGCAAAAATGACAGATACTGGATATCTGAAGCCTCCTTCCCTACAAGGAAATAAAAGCCAGAGGCAGATGTGAGGAATTCTGCAGCACACAACTCGATTTTGCTGCTCTGGTAGTTCTGTACTTCCCTTTAGGCCACTTCTGTGCTGTTACACACCTGGGAACAGCCTGTGTGTCCTGTGCTTGAGAGCCTGGAGAAAAAGGGACCTCAGAGAGGGCCTGAAGGGCTCCAGGAGAGCTGGAGAGGGACTGGGGACAAGGCATGGAGGGACAGGAGCCAGGGAATGGCTCCTACTGGGAAAGGGGAGATTTGGGTGGGATATTGGGAGGGAATTCCTGCTGGGAGGGTGGGGAGGAGCTGGAATGGATTCCCAGAGCAGCTGGGGCTGCCCCTGGATCCCTGGCAGTGCCCAAGGCCAGGCTGGAGCAGCCTGAGACAGTGGGAGTGTCCCTGTCCATGGCAGGGCTGGCACTGGATGGGTTTAAATGTCCCTTCCACCCCAAACCATTCTAGGATTCTACAAAACCTGCTTAACACAAATGGAAACACATTCACACAGCACATAATTTAAAATTTGGAATCCATTGCCTCAGCATTTTGTGGACACAGATAAAAAGGGATTTGGGCAAGCTCCCAGGCCGCTGGCCAGGAGGAGCTGCCAAGGTACAGAGGCTTCCAAGCCAATCTGTGGCTGCCAGGGCAAGGTTTGATCCTCTAAGGTTTAGCTTGTGTGAAAAATGCCTACTTTATGATTGGCTTTTCACAAATATTAAAATGAATATCATATGTGTTGTGTTAGAAAGTAATGCTGTATTAATTCTCTTAAGTAGTGTATTAAATGTAGTTTTAGGGTATAACAAAATGTTAAAATAGAAACTGTGCTATGTAGGATACTTTTTCTCTAAAGAAAGGACTCACACTGTGATAGCAGCCACGGGACACTTGAACCTTTCAGAGAAAGAGAATTTATTGCTCCATTATCAGGAGAAATGAATTCTTCCTGCCTTGCTCAGGCAAGATGACACCTTTAGGATTATGAGGAAGAAGCTGACACTGCCCAGACAGAATCCTGAGTTTGAATGGAATTTATGCATCATGTATGAGATGTATGAATATGCAACAGGCTGTTGTTTATAAGGGTTAATCCTTTGTTAGCGTGTGTCCTTTTTCGGATTTATGTTGCCCAGAAAAAGGTACCCGGACGTCCATAACTCTTTGTTTCTATTGTCTCATATTCTCCTAATTCAAATTGTCCAAATTATTATTACTCTAACTGTATTGCTATTTTTACAACCATTTTATTACTACTAAACTTCTAAAATTTTAAAAACAAGCGATTGGCGTTTTTCCACAGTTGGATACTCCACAGGCCTGACCTTGAAATCCCAGCGGGAGCAGCCCAAATTCCCGAGCCATCCAGGCAGTTCTGACCCTCTCACCTGGGAATCCTCACCTTGATTCTGAGGCGACACCACCTTCACTCAGAGGCTTGAAACTGAGGTGTTGGATCCCGGAATCCCTTTCTGGTTTGGATCGGGCAGCGAAAATTCAGAGACTTCTGTCCAGTTTTCTGTGGGGAAAAAAAGGAAAGTGAAAGCAGAAATGAACAACAGTTGTTCTCTGGTTTACCCGCGACTCCTCCAAGGGAGCCGAGGCCTCCCTCACCGCTCGGCTCCGGGCACTGAGCTGGGGGGCACGGCCGGGACGGGCTGGGGGCCGCAGCGGGGACGGGCTGGGGGGCACGGCCGGGGCTGCCGCAGCTGCCGGCGGCTCCTCAAAACCTCCGGGGCCGTCCCGGGGCCGCCTTTCGCTTTCGCTTCCCACCCCGGGGGCAGGAAGGAAGGAAGGAGGGGCGGCGGCCCGGCCGGCCCCCTCACACAGCGGGGAGCTGCCGGAGTTAAGGGAGGAGCTGCCCCTCAGCCGAACTCCGATGAGGCTGACGGGCACAAATGTGGAGCAAACGGGGAAATCCCCGTTTTTCCCCCGGGAAGAGGCGGGGAAAGGGCGCTGGGGCAGCGCCCCAAGGGCGGGCGTGAGGGCGGCCATGGCCTCACGGCGGAGCCGCTGCTTGCCCGTCCCGGCTGCGCCCAGCTGTGAAATCAAATAGCACAAACTTAGCGGACTCTGCTGAGTTTGGCTGTGTATTTACTTACTTGTAATTCTCTGGGATTACGTGGTGTAATATGAGGAATGTGGTTTCCTTCTGTGGCAAAAAGCATCCTGGACAGAAAGAGCCCTTGCGGATGGAGATGCCGCAGTCCAAGAAATTAACGCGTCAAAGAATTCTGGATAACCGGGTGTCGGCTTGTCACTGAAATTTGACCTCTAAAGAGGTTTCTGAGAAAAATCAACCCCCTTGGATTTCAGTGGTGTTGAGGAAGTGGTGTTAGTCGTGTTGAGGAAGAGAAAGCACTTGGTTCTCATCCAAGGGAGGGTAAAAGGCTGCAGAGGGACTGGGGACAAGGGCTGGAGGGACAGGACACAGGGAATCCCAGAGGGCAGGGACGGATGGGAGATTGGGAATTGGGAATTCCTGGCTGGGCTGGGATTCCCAGAGAAGCTGTGGCTACCCCTGGACCCCTGGCAGTGCCCAGGGCCGGGCTGCATGGAGCTTGGAGCACCTGGGACAATGGGAGGTGTCCCTGCCATGGCAGGGATAGAATGGGATCTTTAAGTCCCTTCCAATTCAAGCCATTCCATGATTCCACACAGATAACGAAAAGAAAGAGTCCATATCCTAGACGAAGAAGAAAAATGAAGCATATTACTTGCAGGTTTCCTTTCAAACTAAGCTTACGGATCTTTTAGTGTGTTCCCCTCAAAATTGCAAACAGACTTGTACTCGTAGGCCGAAGGATTTTGTCTGGGTTGCAGTCAAACAGCGCGGACTGTTCACGAAATTAATCCTCAAAAATTCAAAATATGCCAAATAGTTGGGGCAAGTGTAAACGCTGACTTTGTCACTTTGCAGATGTGGACTCTGCTTTTGGAGGAAAAGCAGACGGAGCTGGATAACAGCGGAGCTCCTTGGTGGAATTGGTTGGGCTCTGTGAGCACACTCGAGGAGGTCTGGCAGGAGCAGCCACATTAAGGGCTTCAGAATTTTTATTTTCACTGGCTCCACAAAGGGGATCTTGGATTTCCCCCTGCTTAGATAGTGATCACCTCATGCCACCAGATTCACTAGGAATTTTACCCACAGCGTGATTGTTATGGCAGCTTCAAAAGTCCTTATCTGTTTTTCCAGATAAGTGGATGAAACTCTGACCCTGCGCTTGAGGGTTTATTATTATTGTTTTTGTTATTATTTTCTGCCTTGACAATGGCTAATAATGTTTACTATTGCTTTATAAACACAAAGTTGGTTACCAATGAGTAAAAGGGAGAGGTTTGCTGGAGTAGCCAGGGAGGAGGAGGTGGTTCTGTTATGACCTAAGCCCTGCAGATTTTCAGATTCAAATGTCACAGTGGTGGGCTGCTCTCCAGTGACCGTGCTCATGTTGGGATCTGAAGGAGCTTTATTTCCCCGAACTCCAGGGAACGAGCAACGTCAGCCTGGTTTGGGATTTGAGCTGAACAATGTGTTTGTGCTTGTTTGGTAAAGGAAATTTATTGGAGATGCTGGCCTGGGCCAAGTTCCTGAACTGAAATGGGGTTGCCTTGGTGTTGATATCTTAGTGCATTTCTGGGTGTTGTGGATTTATGGTGTTAACCACATGTGGAGCAGAGTAAAGGGAAAAGTGTGGATTTCATAACTCTGAGGAGTTTTGCCAAAGGGGAAAATCGAGGAGTAAAATACAGCATGGAGTATAAGAAGCTTTACAACTCTCTGAGCTGCCTGCATTGATTCCAAACTTGCTCTTCAGGAGCCTGAAAAACTCCAGACGAGCCCAGGAAGCTGAACTGGAAACTTGAAACGAAAATCATGATCAGGACTCATCTGCAGCAAGAGATACTCTGATTAAGCTGGAGGAAGTTTCACAGCCACAAGGTACCTTTTGTTGGTGCCAAAACTGTTTCACAGTAGCTCAGTTAAGAATCTCATGGGGTTACCTCCAGAGGGAGAAAATTTGGGTTCTTCTAAAGTTACAACAGATTCAAAGAGGAAAGTAAATGGAAATTAGATGCCTGGGGATTAGTGGTGTCTTCCCTGCTCATCTCCAGGATGTTCAGTCTGGAAAATGGGCCTTTTTTAGTTTGTGGTGCTTTTGTATTTTATTAGTACCTGGGAAAAAGGAAATAAATGTCCATGTTCTTCTTTAAGGAGCTGCAGTTTTCACACAGGCAGGACAATCGTGGTGACTGCTGCACCACCTCCCATCCTCAGGACTCCCAACTAAATTACTGAGAAAAAACCCTACAGACCTCAGGCAAGCAAAGAAATCTTTCTGTCCTTAGTGCTGTTCCAGCATTGAGGAGCAGATTGGGATCATCCATTTATTGTGCTCTGTAGGTGATAACTTACCCTTCAAAAAGCAGCATGAAAATCCATCAGGATATTAGTTCTGGATCTCACTGCTGAGGCACCAAAATCTGGAGTTATCACACCTTGATGTCAACGAGACTCCAAAACCACATGGATCCTTCAAGAAGTTTCCAATCCTTCAGCTCCCTGTTTCTGCTGAGTGTTCATGCAGCCAGCCCAGGCTGGGAAATGAACCAGCCTCAAGGTTAACCCAGAACTGAGCTGGCTTTAGCTGGCTGGTTTCTCCACTCCAGCTCATCCTGGAGGGTGAGAACTCCACTCCATCTCAGGGAGGGTGAAGGATAACTCAGTTCAGGGTGACAGGGCTTCAGTCTCCTCTGAGGAGGGACAGGGGACCCAGCCCTGGTTCCAGATTGTGTCTTATGGGGCCAACATTGGAGGCAGCACAAACCCAATCCTTTTTTCACAGGCAGCACAAACCCAATCCTTTTTTCAACCCTTTTTATTTCTAGCAAGGCAAAGGAGGAAAACAGACCTGACAAGGGACACCCTGAGTTTCGGTGAATTTATTCTGCCTCACAAATTGCAATTGCCTTCCCAGCCCAAGCAGGAGGATGAAATGAACGCTCTTTACCAATCTCTGTGGTTCCCAGGAAGGGTTCCAGCAGGAGCTGGGGGTGTTCCAGCTTCCCTGGGCTGTGTGCTTCCAGGGAAGCAGCGCTGTGAGGCAATGCCCTGGGCTAGGAATGAATCCCAGCTCTGCTGCTGAAAGCAAACAATGCAGAGGGAATCCTCTGAGATGCACATTGGATCCCGTTGCTGTTCTTTGGAAAATCACTGCATGTTAATGAAATAATGGATTAAACTCGCTGCAAATGGCACTGCTGGTGTTGCAGGGAGGATTAGTGGCTCACTGAGGCAGAATAAATTCCAAGTGCAGCCTGTTTTGTGCTGAGAAGATGGAAATGAGAGGGCAGGGAAAGCAGGAGAGCAGGTGTGGAGATGTGCCTGACAAAATTTTCATTCTGTGGGACACGGGGAATGGCTTCCCACTGCCAGAGGGAAAGGATGGATGGGATATTGGGAAGCAATTCCTGGCTGGGAGGAAATTCCCAGAGAAGCTGTGGCTGCTCCTGGATCCCTGGAAGTGCCCAAGGCCAGGTTGGACAGGACTTGGAGCAGCCTGGGACAGTGGATCTGCCCATGGAAGACCTGGGAAGGTGTCCCTGCCCATGGTCTTCAATGTCCCTTTCAACCCAAACTACTCTGGAATTCCATGATCCTATTAAAAAAACCCCCACATTTTCTGTTTGTTGCCAAACTTTGTAGTCAGCAGGATTTCTGAAAGATTATAACTCTGAATGAAAACTACCAAGATAATATTTTTGGTAATATTTAAATAAGTGCCTCAGTCTCTAGAAATGGTTTTTGAAAGCAGTTGTGACATTTCCACCCCCCCTTTTTTTCCCCAAAAAATAATTTTATACAATCCATTCTTCTTGAAAGAAACATTCAGAGTGTCAAGCAAAGTCCTAAATGGAGAGCCATGGTGCAGCTGAGACGAATTAAAAAGTGAATATGTGCAAGTTAAAACATGGGAATTGCTCGTGTAGATATTTCTAGGAAGGAGAGTAATCCCAGTGATCCAGAGCTTTGTCCTTGACACGTTCCTGGAAAAGCTCTGAGTGGTGAGGAAAGGTCATTTCTGAGAAGCTGCTAATGAGAGCTGGGTGTGCTGGTTCATTAACAGCCCTGGTTTAGTTCAGCCCATTCCCCAGTCCTGGCTAACCCTGGGGTCTCTCCCTGTATCCTGACATTCCAGACTCATCTCCCACCTTACCAGCCCTGACTGGTTCAGGGGATGCAGCTCCTCCTTGCAGCTTCCCCTTTTCCCTGTTCTCTTTTCCCTTTCCCTTCTTAACCCTTTCCCTTTGAATTTTTTCCATTTTTTCCCAAAATAACCCAGAGCTGAACTGTTTTGGATGCACTCATATTTCACTTTCTCCCCTTCACTCATGTACATAAAGCACCTTATGAGGATAAAGCACCACCAGCTCTCAGCCCAGCTCATTTCCAAGTGTTACCAACTCCTAAAAACTGTTTTATTTTTACAGGATTTCTTTAAACTCTGGTTTTTTATGGCACTGATTCTGGCTGAAGATACTTTCCTGTGTCCAGCTCTAAAAGAAGTGGCTCCTAATCCTTGATTTTCTGGTTTAGATCTGACAAGTTTCACATTAATTCAACGTTAGGTATCTACTCTGATGTTATTCACAGCCTTAAAATTCACGGAATTAATTTGTGTTTTTATTATTTCACCACACAAAACTGATTAAGTTTTAGGGAGGAGAAAACTTTTTAAAAAGTAGGGTAAAAAGCAGTTAT